TTTTGTTAAATGTGAGCCAAAATCATCACAATTAAAAGAACCAAAGACTTAAACTACTTCAGTCTGCGTGCATTGAATTTATTTAATACACGAGTTTCACAATTTGAGTTGAATTACTGAAATAAATGAACTTTTCCATGACATTCTAATTTATTGAGATGCACCTGTAAATGACCTGAGGTTCTGTAATGTAGTGAGGCCTCCCACAGTGATTCGAGAGCAGTGGGACAGGTCGAACTCCACCAGACTTTCTCCAAAGACATGAAGACGTGCAAGGAACCAGTCATCTACTTCAGGACATCCTCGCAGAGAGAGTCTGAAGTTTATTCTGATTCACTGAGAAGAGACATTTGGTTTGTGTGAGCCAGGGAACAAACTGCACCTCAGCAACAGTTTCAGTGGCAGCTGTGAGATCACTTATTTATCATATATTTTGTTTCCTGTTAGATTTAGCGAATAGACCAATTTGGAGTAGACTTGCAGCTGCGCGCGCATTGTGGTGGCAGAAAAACACTGGGAACAAGTGGAAGGAAACGGGAAAAATCCATGGACTGCTACGATTACCCTACTTTTAAAGCATAAATTTGATTTAAAACATAGGTCTATATAATATTCACATAGGGGACATATTGTATTAGCCCTACAGTTAAAGCATGAAATACTATTTAAACCTATAACATTTAGCCAACCTATTTTATCTCACAATTCTGACTTTTTTTTTTTCCGCAAATGCAAGTTTAAATCTCCTAATTCGGACTTTATAACTTGATTTACCTCAACAATTGCAAGTTTGCCAATTCTGAGGGGAAAAGAGCCAGAAGTGTGGGATATAAACTCATGATTCTGAGCCGAGGGGAAAAGAAAGAATGACGAGTTGATTTTTTTTTCTTATCAGAATTGTGAGATATAATCTCGGAATTGCAAGAAAAAAGTCAGAATTTTGAAATAAAAACTCAACATTTACCTTTTTTATTCTTTTATTCCATGGCTTGCATAGACTGCTACGTTAAAACGGGTATTTTCTGCCACCAGATAGACTCCGCCCACAAAAACGTCATCAGTGTTTGCAAGCACTGAAATTGGTCTATGCTTCTGTGGTCTATGCAAAGATGGGCACACATCTCTTATTTACTTCCACTGTAGACAAATTAAGCCAAAATGTTCCAGAAATGACCGTTATCATCTTGCGCTCCTATAAGCAATAAGCCAGGAGAGGCCAAGGGTAGCAGAATAAGCTGTTTACATTTTTAGTTGTAGAAAATGGAATCCACAGTGGAACATAAAAACATAATTTTGTATGGGTTTGATTTGGAACTCACAAAATGAGTTGTGACAGACGAGATGGGGACAAGAATAAAATTTGGCTTGGACAAATAAAGACTTCATACTTGACTGACTGGTCAAAGGCTTTAGACATCTGGAGAAGTATGATAGTTCATGCAACAAGTGTACATTTATATAAAACAACCTTTGATTACCAAGGGTTTCAAGTCCATTATGGTTTATTAGGGTGCCACTCAGATCCACTTCCTCAATTTGTGTGTCAGGTGTGCTCATGAAGTCATAGCTGAATCTTCCTCTTGAGTCTGGACGAAGCCATTCAGACTGGCCAGCAAATCTATAGAGACGCAAGCATAACACAATGGAGATAATTTAACAATGTCTACTTACACCCTTAGGTTGTAAACCCAGTAGGTAGTAAAAAGCTGAATGAGTTCATAAACATTTCAGGATCAATGACATATAAAGGTGTCTAAAAAGTCAAAGTCTTATAAATGTACTTGTTATATCATTATCATCAATACCATTAATTTTAATACCACTATATATATATATATATATATATATATATATATCATCTTTTAGGGACTTATGGAACTTAACACACTGTTTGCATGGCTCCTCTCTATGATATTGTTTCCTGCTTTGTTTTTTTTTTTTGTTTATTTCCTGCGTGTTGGTTGCACCAACAAGATTT